ACCACTCGCTAGGGGCCAGAGCAGATGCATTTTACCGAATATAAGATTTCTTGTTACGCTTTTATTGCTCAACAATTTCATTTGTGGCTATAACGCTGGAACCGAGAAACAAGTATGTACATAGTTTTGTCTTTTTAATTATGTGTATTCACTAAAAAAATATTTTTATTATTTCCTTTTAAGTAATATATTTTAAGATGTTACTTCGTGTATTCATTTTGAACTATGTATCCTTAAATTTCGTTTTAAGTAATATTATGTTATAAAATGCTAATAAATGAATGAAATTTGAAATATATAAACTTTTAAATTTCATTTCATGGATTATGTTTATGTTAAATGTTGTACCTAATTAATATATATTTTAAAATTTCCTATTTGGTAATATATGCTGTGGTTAGATGTTTATTTTTACATATTTAAATAATATAGTTGTTGCTGATTTAATATATTTCAGTCAACAAATATAATCAAGACTTATAATTTAACTACAGAATGGACCAAACGGTTCCAATTGCAGAACACAGACAAGTAAGTAGATTAATAATTTGTTACATACTTTGGCTAAGTCTTGTTTATTCTATTAGAGACAGTTTCATGTGATTAGGGCACACATTATGCAGTCTGACATTGAACATGTTTTTGCTTAAAATCAGTTTTAATTCTTTATAAAAATCGTTCTACACTATTTACAATATTAAATGGAGGACTTCATCACTGGTACACATTCCGTTAGATTTCACATTCCTACATTTATTAACTGCACATAAAGACACTTCCTCACATTATATTAATTCTAAGCAATGTATATATATAAATATAAATATATATATATATATATATATATATATATATATATATATATATATATATATATATATATATATATATATAATGTCCTGTAGGAAGTAAGTCCTAAAGATAAAGATGACATCATAAGCCCAGAGATCCGACAACCTGTGGCTCCAATTAACACATCAGACCAATCAGTCATAGGTGACCAGCACACTGACCAACATGGTGACAAGATTAAAAACCCAAACAAGGACAAAATTCCCGCTAGTCGTGATGGCCAGCATGACAACCAGTATGCTGGTCAATACAATGGCCGAAATGACCAGTCTAGTAACAACAACGAGGCCAAGGGCTGCGATGATCACCATGAAGATAGACTAAAGCACCATGACCACCGCCACTACCCAAAAGGCGACGATAACCTAGCATACATAACCGACACCGAACCACCACCAAAATATTGCGACCTGCGAACCAACACGTCACAAGATTCAACTTCCGGTAACGTGTACACCCCGCCTCTGGTTGGTCAAGCTCCCCCATCAGGCGCAACCAATCAGGAGGAAATACTTCTTCAAGATTTAACTTACACTAACCCTATGTGGTGTAAAATCCCAAGGTCCAAGTCTCAGGCGAATACATCCATGGCCCAGCCTGCTTATGTGGCCCCACCTCAGACCACTACATACATGGCCCAGCCTGCTTATGTGGCCCCACATCAGATGAGTACTTCAACGGCCCAGCATGTTTATGTGGCCCCACCTCAGACCAATATATACACGACCCAGCCTGCTTATGTGCCCCCACTCATCCAGGTACGTTATATGTTGTTTGTTTTGATGTTGTGGTTGTAAATTCCTTATTGATGGTACTTGAATCAAGGGTTTCGTGTTAGAAGGATGTCCCTGAGTCAACTCAGCTTTAATGGGTACCCAATTTCCACTTCGCTATTAACCTTATTACTCATCTCTATTGGGTACCTGAAACCACAATTTGTTTGAATTACAAAAACTTAAAAATTCTGTTTAGTTTTTTCACCCTTTCATCACATTTTAAATGGCGAAAATATAAAAACTATAAAGAAAATTGAAGGTAGTGCTTTATGAACTTGCTATTGATCGCCACAAAAACAAAAAAGCAAACAAAAAAAAACAAAAAAAAACACACTATATTTAAATATATTTAAAAACATATAAAATATATTTAGAAATATCTATTATCACGTAGCCTTATTCTATTATCTAACACGATCCCAAATTGTCCTGAACTATTTTAGGCAAATGTAAGATGTACCAGAACTATTTGTTCTGAATATTTCAACAACCTATTCAATATGTGCCAGAACTAATTATTCTGTATAAGTTCAGGAACCTGTTCAACATGCGACAGAAATTATTGTTCTGTCCAATTTCAAAAACCGGTTCAGCATGTGCCAGAACTTATTGTTTTCAGGAACCTGTTCAACATGTGCCACAACTTATTCTTCTGTACAATTTCAGGAACCTGTTCAACACGTGCCACAACTTATTCTTCTATACAATTTCAGGAACCTGTTCAACACGTGCCACAACTTATTCTTCTATACAATTTCAGGAACCTGCTCAACATGTGCCAGAACTTATTCTTCTGTACAATTTCAGGAACCTGTTCAACATGTGCCAGAACTTATTCTTCTGTACAATTTCAGGAACCTGTTCAACATGTGCCACAACTTATTCTTCTGTACAATTTCAGGAACCTGTTCAACATGTGACAGAACTTATTCTTCTGTACAATTTCAGGAACCTGTTCAACATGTTCCAGAACTTATTGTTTTCAGGAACCTGTTCAACATGTGCCAGAACTTATTCCTCTGTACAATTTCAGGAACCTGTTCAACATGTGCCACAACTTATTCTTCTGTACAATTTCAGGAACCTGTTCAACATGTGCCAGAACTTATTCTTCTGTACTATTTCAGGAACCTGTTCAACATGTGCCAGAACTTATTCTTCTGTACAATTTCAGGAACCTGTTCAACATGTGCCACAACTTATTCTTCTGTACAATTTCAGGAACCTGTTCAACATGTGCCAGAACTTATTCTTCTGTACTATTTCAGGAACCTGTTCAACATGTGCCAGAACTTATTCTTCTGTACAATATCAGGAACCTGTTCAACATGTGCCACAACTTATTCTTCTGTACAATTTCAGGAACCTGTTCAACATGTGACAGAACTGATTCTTCTGTACAATTTCAGGAACCTGTTCAACATGTGCCACAACTTATTCTTCTGTACAATTTCAGGAACCTGCTCAACATGTGCCAGACTACGTATGCTTGAGCGTTGGCGTCCTATTATGCTGCTGTCTACCCTTTGGTATCATTGGCCTCGTCTTCTCAATAAATGTAAGTCCATGTCACTTGAGCAAAGGCATAGCTAAGGGAGGGCGGTAGGGCGGTCGCTCCGGGCGCCGATCCTAAGGGGTCGCCAAAATGGGTAGAAGCAAGCTTGTTTTAGTCTGTGGAATTAAATTATTCACAGTAGAAAGGGTCACTAGCATTTTTCAACCTGGAAGGGGGGGGGGGGGGGGGGGGGCTTTTTCACCAGCATGAATAAATATAGCCAATACGTGGGGGGGGGAGGGGTGGGGGGTGGGGGTAAATTGATAGCTTGCTCCGGGCGCCCGAAATTAACCTCGACTTGAAACCCTTTACCCTTTGAACAATTTTAAAAGTACATATATGAATCTCGCTGTTTTAAACTACAGTTAGTAAAATACAATATATTTTTGTCCCTTTTTTACTTTCTCGTATATGCGAAGTATGAAGAAAGTATTGTAATCGCGCAAAAAAAAATCGAGATTTTTGCAAATCTCGACGTTTTAAACCTCCCTGAGTCGGAAAAACATAATATTGCAATCTTGTCCGTATGTCTGTGTGTGTGTATGGATGTATGTGTGTATGTAAGCACGATAACTTGAGTACCTTTATAGCCAGGTTGATGAAATTTCATTTATAAGTATTATATTGAATTTGAAGATTTGTTTAAACTTTTCAGAGATTTCCAATAACCGGAAGTGGAACTTTTTCTATTTATAATTTTTCTAAAACTTATTACTTGAGTACTATTTCAGATAGATAAATGAAATTTCACAGGTAAGTAAAATATATAATTTTCTGCCTTCTGTCAAATTTTGAGTAATTTTCGTTGACCGAAAGTAATAATTTACGCTATTTCCGATCTCTCAAAAACGCATGTGAATTTATAAAATACAATATCCCGCAATATTATACACATTTTGTTTGGCGTTCACTTGGTGTGCAATTCTTTTTCTACGAGATTCTATTCTATTATAAAAAGTTTAAGAAATTAAAAATGGATTAAAAATAGTGTCTATATCCCGAGTTGCCATCCCCCGTTGTGTTATATAAGAATATTCGAGAAAGTTTAGGGGAGATCACTCCCAGTTTATTGACATTAATAATCTATGATTCAAGTTAAATAATCTTAACATTTTTCTATTTTAATTATAAACCTTAACATATACATATACTAATCAATGCGGTAGTGATTAGAAAAAAAATAACTTAAATTATTGATGAATTAAATTTATTTATTTATTATACCTCCCTTGCAAAAATTAAAAAAAATGTTGAATTAAATAGTTTTTTCGACCTACTGTTATGAAAATGTATCCACTGTTTATAGGAAAAAAAAACAAAAATGACATTTGACATTGATACTTTTAATACGTTTTAGCAATGTGCGTGTATTTAATATTTTCTTTACGTTATGCAAAAGAGTAAAAACAGTGGCAACTATAAAATAACTTTTAATAAGACTCTGCGATGCACTGAAAAGCACTGCATGGTGCGATGTTTACTTTTATGATTCCAAAATCTATAGCGATGACGGAAGGAAGGACTGACACACTACCAGCCCGCTTATGTTATATGTTATATATATATATATATATATATATATATATATATATATATATATATATGGGCCCCCTATACATGAAAGCTTGTGTCTGTGTGGTTGTCTGTGTTTTATGCACTACTACACCTTTTGTCCTATTGCCACGAAACTTTGTACTGTCGCTGAGAATAGTAAGAATAGACCTGGGAAGATAAATGTGGTAAATAGTTTCAAATATCATAGGTTCTGCACACCAGAAGTAGTATACTAGGCGTCCCGTGGTAGCCAGTCATTATTAATGGTTCAAATAAGATCTGTGAGATTCGTTTGTCAGTTTTGATTTGAATAGAAAAAAAAAATGTATTTATCGATCTGCATGCAATGGACCATAAAACACTTTGTTGCAGTGTGTGTAGTTTTAAAGAGAACTTAATTGCTTAAACTGTTCCAAATGTCAACATTTTGTTGAATTGTGGTTTACTTTGTCATATTTTTTAAGACAACATAAATGTTGGCTGGTACTCTATTGTTGGCTGGTTATTTTAATATTTGTATTTAAGTAAAAGGGTTACTCGTTTGCTCATTACCCAGGAAGAGGCAAACTCGAATAGTAGTATAGTGCAGGCAATTTTAAGGTATTGAATATTAGGTCGTTCTATGTTGATGAGCTTGTTTGTTGTCATGATTTTGCTTATTTTTGAAGTTATATTTTTGTTAACGTTTACCCACCCCTTCTCACGAGATGGCGTTTGAGTCCCACGGCACGCTGGTCTGACAGGGTGTCACAGGTAAATTATGGGCTTTAGGTCACGTTGATTAACCTGGTCCCCGGACTCTAGTTGTGCGCCTCACGAGGTGTGAATTTAATCAGCGGTTTGGATGGTCAGATCCTAGCTTTCTCATGGCCATACGTCATAGCTCAGTTGACCACGGTGGGCAGATCGCCGCCTGCATTTTTATGGCCTGTTCCGGCACAATGAAGACAGCCGAAGCGCTGGTCAAATTTCTCCTTGATTGATGGTCGGAAGGTCACTACCTGTGTCAGTTCGGGTCGAGCAGATGGTTTTGGTTGATGGGAAAGTTTGGTTGGACAGCCTATAAATGAGGAAGGTTGGCTGTGTTAAGGTCTCTCTCTTACACACACACACACAGCTAGGGCTAGAGGCTAGTCGAGGCCTCAGGGTAGCAGCCTTAGGGCTGACTTAAAGGCCCAGCTGATGTATTGTTGATATGGCCTGATGTTTACAACAGCGGCCCAACGTCTTGTTCCTGTACATATATGCTTTGTTTTAGATGTTTACATCTGTGATCTGCTGTTTAAACCAGTGGCCATTTTCTATGTGGCTGATATTTGTACCAGTGGCACGATGTTATGCTCGTGGCCTGATGTCTCCTTCCAGTGGCCCGATGTCTCGATCCAGTGGCCCGATGTTATGCTCGTTGCCTAATATCTTAATCTGGGGCCAGATATTTGTTCCAGAGGACGGGTATGTTGTCCTTGTGGCCGGGGAATCGCCCTTGCCCTTTGTGTGTGATGAACTAGATCGTGTAGAACACAAGTGTAAATTCATGAAAGGATGTAACTGTGTTTGTATCAGGTTCCCAAGGGGAATACATTGAATGCGAATATTGGACAGGGTCTCAGTGTATTGTTTTCATTGTATTTAAACATGTAAGTTTGATTTTTTTGTCATCTTTGACTTGTATTAAGAATGCATGTGATGTTTTCTTGAATTTGAAAAACTGGCCAGGTCTTATTCCATATTATACAATGAAAATGCACGGATTTGAGAGACTAACACCATCCACCACCTGTCTTCAATCGGTTAAAACAACCCCCACCCTAACATAAATTTGACTGTTATTTTGTTATATGTTTACAGGCTAACAGAATGAGAGGTGAAAAGAAGTATCAAGCAGCCAAGCAAGCTGCAAGCAAAGCCCGGACTTTCAACATTATCGGCATCGTCTTGGGCATCATTTTTACTATCTTCTACATTCTATCAGGGATCTTAAGATTGTAGGTTACGGGATAGTTGTGATGGGGCTGGTCATTGGCTAAATAAGAAGATGTCGTGATGATGGTCATTGGCTAAATACGAAGATGTCGTGATGATGGTCATTGGCTAAATAATGAGAAGTCGTGGTGATGGTCATTGGCTAAATAAGAAGATGTCGTGATGATGGTCATTGGCTAAATAAGAAAGAATAATGGGCTGCTTCAATGTATATTTTAAAATTGTTTCAATTTATTTTTAAAATCTGTGTTTAGATTCAGTCTTTCACATCAGCGGTTGATATTTTACTGTTTTCTGTGAACATATAACATGCCAGTTATCATTTTTAATTAATATTTTAATTTTAATGTATATATCATTTTGAATAAAGGCTAGAAAAAGCAAAAAGATTTGTTTATTGATAAGCAAGTTTAGAAATCCCTATGATTTAGAAAACGGTGTTTTAAAACAAGATTTAGTTGAGGTTTCATAATGTTTGGGCGTGTCCATAAAGACACTTATATGAGTTAACATTGTTTATTCATACTAATTAAAATTTATTGTTCTGTCATTTTATAATAAACGGTATTTTCTATTGTGCACAGTTCCTGATTGATGAAGATGGACTGTTTGAAATGTTCCTAAAAAATAAAAAATAAAAAAGGTTAAAGAATCTCACTTAAACATACTGATCCATTGAACATATAAAATAGAGTGCATGTGTTTTTTGGCCTCGGAATATGAAGGGAGGATGTGGTCAGCACTGTTCAGGACCAAGATCCGAACTCGAGACTTTCGAGACAGCAGCAACGCTCTACCATTCGACCAGGTCGTCTCTAGATGTTCGTATCTTACGGTGACAATATTTGACCCCCACTGTGGATACTCGCTGATTACCACGACTTTACAAAATAGTTCACAGGAGGAAAAGTATGAGGTACAATATGAGATACCTATTCCAAGGTGTCAACCTAGTATAGGCTCTACTTTCTATTTTAAAGTGGGAAAATACCCATAACATTTATTTCACTTTATTAAATAATTTAAGTTATAATTTTAACTCAATTTTACTATTATCAAAGCAAATTTGGCAATTGCATATTATAGATTAATTTAGCTACTTTAAAAATTAGCTTGAAAGGAAGTACTTAACGATACATAGGGGTATGTGAGATATTTTGTCTGAGATCATTTGTCCATGATATCATTTGCCCTGATATATTTTGTCCTTGTACCTTTGTCCGTGAGATTATTTGTCCTTGAGATAATTTGTCCTGAGATCATTTGTCCTGAGATCATTTGTCCTGAGATTATTTGTCGTAAGATTATTTGTCCTAAGATTATTTGTTCTGAGATCATTTGTCATGGAACCGGGTAATTCCATATCACAATATCTGGTCATGTATATGCTGGAGATTTAAAAAATAAAAAACAAACAACGATTAGTATCAATCTGATTTTTTACCAAAATATAGCTATTACATTTTTTGTATGATCAACAGTGACAACAGCAGTAGCTGGTAAAACTTGTCTAAACGTCCCCCGCATCTTTTATCTAATGATGAACATTACATTTTAAAGTATGAGTGGATTTCGTCCAGTAGCACATCAACATTAGGAAATAAACGTGGTCTATGTGTGTTTTGTTGGAATGTGACATGCTTGACTAACCAAGCGTGGCAAGCATGCGTGTTTGATCATGACGACACTATTGATCTGGTTATATCCCACCTACACGAAAACAGGTGTATGAGTTGCACAGGTATGTAGTGTATTATTGTTTTCTTTATATACTGTGACTGCTGGGAGGGCATGTGGGATCACCGCCCTAACCGCCAACCCTACCCGACAACCCTAGCCGTCAACCCTAGCCGCCAATCCTACTCTTTCTCTCACATACACAACACACACACACACACACACACACACATATATATATATATATATATATATATATATATATATATATATATATATATATATATATATATATATATATATATATATATATATATATATATATATATATACATATACTCTTTTTTCCTTTGGTGTGTTTAGGGGGGGGGGTGACACCATGAAGTGCCGCACCGGGTGGCACCCGACCTAGCAACGCCACTTCCTGATTCCCAGACAATAACATATTTCACTCGTGAATGCCACTTCCTGATTCCCAGACATTAACATATTTCACTCGTGAATGCCAGTCAACCTTTGCTCCATATAACGTGCGCTATGAAGTGGTTCTTCAACACGCTTACAGATTCAATACACGCTGTGAACTCTAATGTCACGTTTGAAAATCTACACGATAGAGTGATGGTTCTTAAGTTTGGTTCAATTGATTTAGTCTCAGAATATTACCCTATTGATATTTGTTCTGTTGTTTTAGTTGCACAAAGGTCAACATAATGTTGCCCTTATAATATTTGTTCTATTTCATCTTGGCCCTTATAATATTTGTTCTTTATTTCCCAGGCCAACAAGTTGAAAGATGAAAAGAACTATCATGCAGCCAACCAAGCAGCTGCCAAAGCTTGAACCTTCAACATTCTTGGCATCGTCTTGGGCATCATCTTCAATTTCATCTACGTTCTGGTGGGGGTTTCAATAGATAGGCTTATTAAAGACTGGGACCGTGGTACTGGTTATTTTTAAAAAATTATTAAACGGGAGTTATGATGGCGAATGTTATAAATATGCTACATAGCGATAGATTATGATGGCGGTTGTTAAAAATATGCTATCTGAGGATAGGTTAAGATGGCGGCTGTTACAAATATGCTACATAGGGATAGGTTATGATGGGGGCTGTTACAAATATGCTACATAGGGATAGGTTATAATAGCGGCTGTTACAAATATGCTACATAGGGATAGGTCATGATGGCGGCTGTTAAAAATATGCTACATAGGGATAGGTCATGATGGCGGTTGTTACAATTATGCTACATAGGGATAGGTCATGATGGCGGCTGTTACAAATATGCTACATAGGGATAGGTCATGATGGCGGCTGTTACAAATAGGCTAGATGGTGATTGGTTATGCTGGCGGTTGTTACAAATATCCTACATTGTGATTGGTTATGATGGGGTTACTCATGATGTTAAGATACATTTAAAAATAATGTGTGGTATACTGGGGTTTCTTGAAAATATTCTTAAAAGGAAGGAATGATAATAGAGATTACCACTTTCTAAATACTCAAGTCTAAACTCTTTAAGTAAACTTTTTAATATTTATATTCTTTGTATTTATTTATGTATAAGTAAATATTTATTGTCAAGACCCTGTCCCTAACTTGCTCATGTATACAAAATATAGATTCAAAGGTGAAAAGTGTTTGATTTATGTTTTGGTTTATTTATGTATAGATTTTTGTGGTGTGGGCACTTACTATGGTTTTCCTAATTAGACATTCTAGTACTATTTTAGATAGATAAATGTAACTAAACATGTAAGTAAAAGATTTAATTCTCTACCTTCTGTCAAATTTTGAGCAATTTCCGTTGATCGGAAGTAGTTATTTACGCTATTTCCGATTTCGAAAAAAACGAATGTGAATTTATAAAGTACTAATAATATTCCGCACTATAATATACATATATTTTGGCGTTCACTTGGTGCGCAATTCTTTGATCTACGAGATTCTAAAAAAAAAAGTTAAAGTATTTAAAATGGATTAAAAATCATGTCTATATCCCGAGTTCCCATCCCCTCTTCTTTAAATAACAATATTCGAGAAAGTTTAGGGGAGATCACTCCCGGTTTATTTTTTACATTTTGTATAATAAAATGTATGCTAGCCTATCGCATGTCATTGTTTATATCGCCATAACCACATGAAAAGTAAATTGCTTTTTTTTTTATTTTATTTTGGAAATTTTGTTTAATTACTGTAAATACTAAAACGTCAAATTCATCCACAAAAACCGAACTGTCAGGATTTTATAATCAAATTAGTTTTAATTACACCTTGCATAATTTTAAAAATATTTAATTGGCCTCTCAATTACCTATGTGAATATTCTCGCTTAGGTCCAGTTTTTAATTTAAAAGATTGTAAAAATATGGCAAGCAATAAAACATTTTAAAAAATTAAAGCCATTAGGGAACCATCGATAACTTTCAGTTTTAGAATTATTTTATCTATTCAAATATTTTTAAAAACCACCCTCAACCCGTTCTTTAAGTCAACCGGAGAGACAAGGGATGCTAAAACAATGCACGTCACAAAAATTGTTTCCCATTAACACAACAGGCTGACTCTACTAATCCAAGTTAAAATAAAAGGGTTAGCTAATTTTTTAGTATATTGCTAGTACTTATTTGTTCGAAAACTTATAGCCTTAAAAAAAACCAGACGTCATTTTGTACATTTTTTCACACATATGATAAAATATTCGATTTGCTTGAAAAATTTGTTTTCTCGCATCAACTGATTGGAACCATTAGAAATCAGCTTTCCGAGTTTTTCAAATGCGTTCTGAACAAATCTTAAAGGCTGGAAACAGCATTGAAGACAAGGCGGAACAGCTGTGTGAGTTAACACAGCACTGCAAGATTCGCCATCATGAAGCTTAAGAATAGTTAAACAATTAGACAACTTACTGTAAAAACATGGGGTTTGACGAAAACCGATTTTTTAATGGTCCGAACATTCACAAGAAACTCAGAATCTCGTAAAACAATGTGTTCATCAGGCCAGACGTTCTGAATAGAAAGCAGCAGATGCCATTGGTTTCACTTCAGCAACAAATCGTCTCTTTGGATCTTGTTGGGGTCGTTGTTGTTGGAGTCGTTTTTGTTGGTGTAATATATTTATGATTCATCAGTAAAATTTCTAAAATGTTTACGTCTTCTAAAATACACTGTGGGATTACACCTTAATGCCAACAAACTTTTCACGAGAAATCAAGAATTTCCTTTATAAATCTTCAACCATAAGCCTTTTAGAATACGGTAACCAATTTTAAAATATACTAGACTACCCGTTATCTAGTTTCGAGGGTCATCCATAAATGACATCAGGTCTGTCACTTATCGTCACAAAATAACCAGAACCCACATTCAAAAAGATGTTTTTATCTTTTAAAAACACCGATTTCGGACTATCCCTTCATATACTGACGTAACAGGTGACCTACTCAACTCTACTTAACCCGCCTACCTGCCCAGTGTCCCGCCAAGCCTCAGACAACAAGTTTTATCGTTAAAAAAAAACGATTCCTGCCGAGCATGTCTCTGACCACACTATCCCTTCATATGCTTAGGACAAAGAAACAGATAAAATCTACTTCATCTGCCCTGTATCCCGCCAAGTTCAGATAGGCAACTTTATCATTCACATCTAAAAAAATTATTAAAAAATTGAAAAAAATTAACATTGACGTATTGGTCTAGAACCCGTGCCACCCGCAAGACAGCCGATTACACTAACAACTTAGCTATTTAACTCGTGACGTCACTGGTGATTTTTTATACTATAGTTTAATACTTTGAGTCTCCTTATGCAACTTGATTTACGCGCATAGATCTAGATCTAAGTCTAGTAGTAGTAACTTTCAAATTAAATTGTATCTTAAATTAGCCAATTACATAGCTAAACACAGATTAATATAAAATAATAAAGGTCTGAAATTTATCTAGATCTAGATAGAATTATCTAGATCTAGATTCTACGACTCGTTTGCTTAAGTCTTAAGTCTAGTTTTTGCGTAACTCTTGCTAGATCTAGAATCTAGATCTAATCATTAGACCAATTCTATTCGAGATCTAGAGAGATAAATCACAAAGATTTATATCAAGTATTTAAGGACTAAAAATGTATTATGATTATAAAATGGACTGTATTTTTTATCTAATTAATCGTTGGTATGTATCTAATTAATCTTTGGTTTTACCTAGATTCTAGATCTAGATCTATAAATAGCTTTCTTGGCCACCTGATATTTTTAGATCTATAAATGACTTTCTTGGTCAGATTGTAGAGCTAGAGAAATTTATTGCAAAACTAAATAAAAAAGACAGTACAAAATTTATATAAGCGTTGGAACGTAATAAAAACAGCAAACGGACGTATTGTTAAAGTTATGGCCGACAGAAAATTAGATTTAGAACGCATTAAACTTTTGAATGGGCCACAAAGTCTATGATGGAAGCCGCCATCTTATTGTACTAAAAAGTAAACAAAACTTGTGACGTCACTATTCAGTCAAGGTAAAGCCATTGTTTGAAAAATTTAAAATTAATGTGCTTAATCTACCAATGAATAAATCAATAAATTAATTAACGTCTTTAAATAAATTTGTGATTAACAGTATGTCTGAAAAAAAAATTTCTCTACCTACATACTATTTTACATTTCTGCATATAGCGTAGATCATCTACAGTAGTTAATCAGACAAACAAAAAAATAAATATATATTGAAACACGTAAACTAACTTGAGTTTTAGTAGTATAAAGATTTCACTCCTGTATGTTTCAAAGCGGTATACGTAACCATAGACTGGCCTGCATCTAGTCTAAACATTATGCTGATCAAACCATAACTAAGAAAAACAAACACCTTCACCATACCATTTTATTATTAATTTCGGTGCTACTTGATAATACAAATATTTACAAGGATTTTCTGGTAACAGATTCCTGTTTGGTACAGTAAGATATTTAAAATCCTAATTTCGTCTATGATACCCTGTGGTGTTACACCTAAATGAGAGTAAAACATTGATTAGAAATTTTGGGACGTTTTCTGTTGGGTGAAATTCTGAGTTTTCCAAAGCTATTGTCATGTCCCAACCGTCTAGAAAAATTATTCTGTTCATTAAGTCTTTAAATACTTTTAAAATAATTTTAAAATAAAATCTTCCTAGACTGTCTCCACTTATGGTGTGATTTATTTCGTACTCCAGTGAAGCCACGTGTGGACCACGGAAAGCTATTGTTGCATCAGGGTTTCTGTCCAAAAGTCGCTTGCAGGCTTCAGTTACAGATCGAAGACGTAGCTCGGCAAAACTTAAATGGGACGTCAAAACGTGAAGATAGTAGTGGATTATGACAATGATTTTCTCATTTGATGGCATGGCGTCTATATGCTGGGCTACACCATCGTAGCGGAGCATAGATACCCAAGAGGCACCAAGATGAAGCGGGTATTCGTGTGGGGTGAATGTCAAGGTGATATTGTTCACTTTGTTTTTGCACACCTCTTTCTGCGGCCATGCTCCATTCCCCGTGGCGCTGCACTGTGTCCAGTCTTGAAGCGGCCAATACAGACGAAGACTATTGGAATCCCCGAACACCCAAATACTAGTATCACGTAGACAGTCTAGTGCCAGACTTGGGGTTAGGTAGGAATGGTCACAGAGCAGAGATGTCCAGACTTCTCCAGGTGACCAGTAGCCTTTTGGTTTGGTCATTTCCCAGGTAGCTGATGGGCTCGTCATATAGCAGGGTGGAAGTTGGGGTAATGAGCCTGAAAACATCAAATATAATTTCCAATTTTTTTTTTTGCTCAATATAAGTATGATCGATGGTACTATATGACATTGTCATTATGTTATATTTAAATGCCTTGATAAGCTAAATTATAAATAATAAAGCAAACATATTTTAAAAGAGTAATCGTCAAATCATTAATGATGTTAAAGAAACACTTTAGACCATTCTGCTCATGCGATTTGAAGTTTTGATTATGATAATTCAATACCAGGTGTTTTGTAACAGACTGCAGTTATAAGTGTTACGTTTTGTCTTGTAAATTCTTGTAACGTCCCTTATATTTTATATATCATAGTTATGTCCCTTGAGTGTCCCTAGAATGTGTACAGTGTTAGCTGTGTTGTTTACTTCAGTCATTTACTGGAGCGAGACCAGATGGTTAATGACGGATCTCTAAATATCTAAAATGGTTTTGAGTAAACTTGATATCTACTGTACTGAGCAAACGAATCTAAATAATGTAACAATATGATTTAGCACGAATGCTGATGCGGAATAGGAGAGGTGTTTCAAATAACTGTCAAACGAAATTCGTCCATTCGGGCATTCGTCGCATTCGGGCAAGTTTTCATTCGGGTATTTGTCGCATTCGAGCAAGTGTTCCTTCGGGTATTTGTCGCATTCGAGCAAGTGTTCCTTCGGGTATTTGTCGCATTCGAGCAAGTGTCCATTCGGGAAATCGGCCTTCGGGCAAATGGCATTCGGGCAAGTGTCTTTCGGGAAAACGTCCAGCTCCCGAATTTTCTACAATGTACTTTGTCTTTTAGTCTGGCAATAAGGTGACTACCCCCATCCTCAACGCTTCAATAACAATATAAGTATACGCAAGTAAATGAAACTTTGACATTGTAAACAGAGGCTAGCATTGCTATTAACTAAACATCGTGCCGTCGTATAGCAAATCTTGTGCTTGATTTATGTGTTTGATAAAATGGCGTGTGTATTTGATTACTGCTTTAAATACAGATGTGTTTAGAAAATGTTTACCCTACTTAGGTAAATTCATTTTACCTGAGTTGGTAACAAGTATTTTGATATTAACTCGCAGAGCATTCACTTTTATGTCACTGTTAAGAAAATCATACAAAAAAATTATCAAATTATTATAGTAGTTATATAATGCAAACAGATCCTCTGTATGTTTATTATCAACAAGATATAAATTAGTATAAATGTTCTGTTTGTGTATGTTTGTAGGAAACTACAAAGTGAGTGAAATAAATAAAAAAAGAACTATGTATTTTTCTCAGGGATTGATAATATTATAATGTATCTTTTGGTGTTTCGTTTTTAACCTAATATTAAATGAAGCTGTTTGCTTTTACCTGTTATGTTATGTTATATATATATATATATATATATATATATATATATATATATATATATATATATATATATATATATATATATATATATATGTGTGTGTATTTGTATATGTGTGAGTAGATATATTTTAATTTGTTTATGAGAAATAAAAAAAATAGAACATGTCATTAAACTACCGAACTGCTACAGATTTGATTAAAGCAATTTCTTCCAGGGTTACATTGGATGGCTCAATTCTGGATAAAGCCTTTGTGGCCTTGAAGTGGTCGCAACTCAACCTATAGATCATAGGTTGAAAAAAATAGGTACAACTGTGGATATGTATATCTCTATCTATATCTATCTATCTATCTCTCTCTCTCTGTCTCTCTCTCGCTTTAAATATATATATATATATATATATATATATATATATATATATATATATATATATATATATATATATAGATGTGTGTGTGTGTATTTGAATTTTCAATTGTTTCTTCTCTAACTCCTACCCCCGTGTTCTTTAACCAAACCCTTGGGGGTCATCCATTTATGACGTCCACACATTTTTGGGATTTTGGACCCCCCCCCCCCCCCCCCGTGGACGCCCACACTGACTATAAGTTTTTGCATAATCTTCTTTCACTATTACTCAAACAACTGCATTAAGTGTGTATATACTCTGAGTGTATATAATATTACAACATTTTTTATCATTTTCATATTTCAAACTAACCGAAAAATCCCATTAATAAAACAGGAGACCAAAATATTTATTACCAAAAATATTATATTCCTAAAATGAAATGCATCTCTTACCTGTATCCTTTTGGTTAGCCTGGTCCTAAATGATAAAGATCGGGACTGATTTATCCTGATACGTCCTGCAGTTCAACTAATTTAGCTGTAAATTGTTCTTCTGGCTGCCACTTTAAATTAAGCCATAGGCTATTAACCTCTTTTTGAAGTTGATATTTCAATTTGGAAGGATAAGCTTTTTGATACAAATCATTTAATTTAGCATATTTCGCGGTGTTTTGACTAGCCATTATTTCGCACACTTGTAGTCGCATTGACACTGTTATATTACTGAGTCCAACGTTGATGCTAGTGTGTATTAACGCCTCCCCCCCTCCTGTCCCACACCTGAACAGGACGTCTATGTTAGCTGGTGGCTAGCCACGAGATTTCTGTAATGTAGTAGACCAAGGCTAGGATAGACCGTAAGGAACAAAGTAGAGTAGTCGGACTAAGGACTTAAATTGTTGTAGATAGTTGTATTTTTCTCTGTCTTCATTGTATTTGTGTTATAGTGGCAATAAATAGTCGAAATCATTGATACTTGTGGTTATTTATTCTCATTTTCTTGTTCTTGTTTACTATTTCCTACCTAGCTCGAAAGATTTAGAGAAGAGGGTCGTAACATTTTATATATATATATATATATATATATATATATATATATATATATATATATATATATATATATACTGCTACCACTGTTGTCGTTTACTGAAAATAGATAAGAATTGATGTTGTACACTATTATTTACCATTTGCGTCTGGAAAAATTTGTTTTCTCTTATTTCAATTCTCATCATAGCAAAACTTGCACGCAAATAAATTTAAGAAACCACACATGCCAATTCAACTCACTGTTTATTTAATTATCCGGAAAATTTTCCTTGAAACAAAATTTGTTGGGTCAATTCGTCTCTAATAAAGAAGAGGAAAGGATGGTCCGCGACAAATCTTTTTTCCGGAGGATGCTTGAGAGAGGTGATTGATATAACCACAGCTGTAGCTGCAGCAGCGACAGTTCCTGTTTCTTTGACGTCAATGATGGCCTTGTGAATGACCTTGCTGATAAAGACCCCACCTGTGGCCGAGATCAGGTTACAATAAATGCATTTTTTGAACTTGTATAAATCTCCGTGATACCATTGTTTTTAAAGTGAATTGTATCTTCTTTTTATAGATATTCTATTTTTTTTTTTTGGTGTAATGTGTATACATTTAGTTAAATGAATATATATTTCTTGCTGCCCGAATGTAGTGTTTTAACCTTTTTGGGGCACGAAAATTTATTTTTCAATAAATTATGTGGAAAGTTAGTATTTTTAAGTCGCTTTGTTATTTTCGGCTACAGGACATTACCCACCCCCCCCCCCCTCCACGGACATTAACCCCCCCCCCCCCCCTGTCAATTATCCCCCTAGGGAATTAACACCTCCTCCCATTCTCCAAAATAGAATCCTGATTTTATCCCCAACTCTATACCTATATATTACCTTAATTAAAACTTTAAGAAAATTACGAAAAACCTAAGAATTCACCTCACCCTAAAGTTAACCCAAAACCAAACCCAACTCTAGACATTGATTAAAGCCTAACCCTAATCCGAGCCCTAACCCTAGCCCTAACCCTAGTCCTAACTCTAACCCTAACCCTAGACCTAGACCTAGCCCAAACACAAACTCTAGCTCTAACCCTAGCTGAAACTTAAGCTATGACCGGGGGTAATGTCCTCCTGGGCGAGGTGTAATTGGCGGGTGGGGGGAGGGGTAAAGCCGTGTTCCCGTTATTTTCAATGTAAAATTACTGTTTACAGGCTAGGTCTGAAATTATCATACATTGTGTTGTTAGGTATATAAATATGTACATCCTCAAGTTATTAAACGCTGTAGCATTTAAATCAGATCCCTTTTAAGTGTCTAGATAATAACTTAAATATTTATATTTACCTATTCAACATTTACCTGTTCAACAGCTTACCTTTTCTTATGATTCCAGTAAAGTTTGCGTAACCAGGACTGAAAGCCTCCACCATGCCGATATCTTTCAGGGGTTGAACCAGGCCTAAAGTTGTCTCAATCTTGAACTTTGGAATGCTGACACCCAAATATACAGATCTAAGTCCACCGAACAGTGTATCGACATTTCCTGGCGTTGCTAGAAATTTTTCTTTAGAAACAAGACATATACATAGTGACTTCACATTTTGTAAAGGTAGCGACATTTATTTTGAAGAACAAATTGAAAATGTGCCACCAGATTGTATTAAATTATGTTAAAAAATGTTTTCTTCATTTGATTGGCCACATTTTACTTTAATTTAGTTTATGACCTACAACATACCTAAACCTTTGATACCATTCACCTCCTCTGGTAGAGCTATGTAAAAATGGAATCTTTCACCATTGAAGGGCAACTCGACTACCTCTATCCCAATAGAGTTATCTTTCTTGTATTTAATCGTCATGTCATCGCTCATCATGTCGACCTAGTGAGTGTAAATCTTTAAAAACATCTGACAAATGATATTGACTTTTTAATTTATTTTTACATATTGCTATTTTAAAATGTATAAACGCCTGAGCTTAACTAAATGCATTTAATTTTAATGTAAATATTATTAATCATTAAGGGGTCGGCGTGGACGAGTCGGTAAAGCTCATGGTTGGTAATAGACAAGTCTCGAGTTCGAACCCTTGGGCAGATGAGGCTCGTTAGCTGGGGACAGCAACTCTTCTAGGAGAGACAACTCAAAAACCAAACAACTGCTGCCTTGTAGTTTGTTCTTGGTTGGACAAAGGCTATGGAAGCAAATCAAAAAAAAAGAAAAGCAGGCTGA